TGACCGTTTTTCTCTAGATTATGATGCCTGGAAGGTGTGTCTCCGACTTCGAGATAATGGGCTTCTGGCCAAGCCAACCCATGGTGACATCATCAGGCTGGCACCCCCGCTCGTGATCAAAGAGGATGAGATCCGCGAGTCTGCCGAGATCATTCACAAGACCATCTTGTCTTTCTGAGGTTGTCACTGTCAGGGCACCTGGGAGTCGGCTGGAGACAGGAGGTCCATGGTGTCCTGTTGAGACTGCTCCGTGCGCAGGCACATTCCACTCCCACGTGTCTCCAAAGACTCCTGTGTTTGTTCATAAATGGCAGAATGAGATTTACGAACCTGCGGTTTGTTGCGTGATACAGCTGAGAGAGATGGTGAAACATGTAACCGTCTTTATCTGGTTGCGTGTTTGCCTTTGCGTGTTAAACATGTAACCATCTGCACCTGGTTATGTTTTGCCTTTGTGTGTGTGCTTTCTAAGTGAAATGTGTCAGGCAGCCTTGTAATCAAGCCCTTTAAGTATAATTTATACATTTTTTATAATTTCATCACTGGTATGAGTGTTTTATATTCAAAAAAGTTACCGTTGAGGTAATATACATAACATTTGCTTAACTTTATAAAGCTGCATTATTGTAATTGCATTTTAGGAGAATTAACGGTTAAGAGATAGAAGGTACTAGGTTGAAGTCCATTTAACCTTGTATTGGTCGATACCAGGAGCTAGTCTGTTCATGTCATTATTTTGAATTAAGAGATAATGTTTAACATTCTCAAATTATGTTTTAAGTATCTGATTATAATTTGTGTAAAACCTCTCCCCAAAGTTTCTTCCAATGTAAAATAAAGCTTCTGTTGAAAATGTCTGTTAATTTTGTGATCAGTGGGTTGGTACTGCAGTATTTTCAGTTACCTCACTTTTTAAACTCTTGGGGAATGTCCTGACCTGGCTTTATTTTATGGCTTTTCTAAGAGTATTTTAGAAAAATAGAAATTATAAAAGAAAAATAAAGCTAGAAAAGATATCTTTGACAGTCCCCCTCCTCCACAGGATGTTGCGTTAGGTCAGTTTGCAGGTGTAAGTCTTTTTCAGACGACAGTGGTGGTGCTTCATGGTACAGGTCACCTCACAGGCAGCACTGGCTGGTTAGGGCATTGGCTGGTTCAGGCGTCCACTTGACCCACAGCTGCTCATGACAGTTTCCAACCTGGCACAGTCGGGTGAGCGTTTCTGGGGAGTAGATCACTGTGCGTCAAAGGATGTGAACTTGAAATCTTCACATTTCCTTTATCTTTTTTGTGTGTAATTGTAAAAACCTAGTCAGTAACACAACACTTGCCAGTCCAACCTTTAGATCTAATGGTGCCCAGCTACTCCCCCACCCCGGCTGTCAGAGGTACATCCTTCATAGTGTAGGGGTTGGGTGTTTGGTACCAGAGTGGCTTTTCTGCCATTTAATGACAAGAGCCAGTTGAAATGTTTGAGTGGTCACAGGCAGGTGTGTGCCTACCAGCTGAATACAGGTATGTAAGGCACTTGACTGCTAACCAGAAGACTGGTGGTTCAAACCCACCAGCCACTCCTCGGAAGGAAGGTTGGGCAATCTACTTCCATAGTGATACT